CTCTTGGGGTGTCCCAGGGAGAGGGGTCTGGCTGCTCAAACCCCCTTGAGCTGCACAGGAAACTCCTCCAAGAGTTTTCCCCGAAGCCTGCGGAGAAATTTCCGGTGCTGTTTTACAGTCACGGAGCGCTCGTGGATGTGATCCTGGGAAGAGGGAAAGGAGACCATTCCCTTTTTGCCAGCACCATCCCGTTCCTTCTCTTTTTTCCTAATTAATCTCCCTGTTGGAGCAGCTTTTCCCTTAAAAAAGAGCCTTTGCCCTTAAAATAAGCTTTCTGTGCCAAAATATTCCCCTCCCACGTGAAATACCCGAAAGCTGGGAGCAGGAGGGGGAGGGAAGGTCATTCCAAAAACCTGGATATAAAAGGAACAGGGACAAAAATCCGGGCACTCAATGCCACAAATACTGAGCTCATTGGCACCAGGTTTAGAGCAAAGATTATTTCCAATTTAAACTGGACTCAAAGGAGCCTTGAAGCCCTCTGGAATAAAAGCAAGGAGTGTTAAATCCCTGGAACATCTCCAGAGAGCTCAGATTTCCAATTAGGAGAAAAATTACCTCTTTTCCCTCCTTTTTTTTTTTGGATGGAAGCAATTCCCTCCTCTTTCCCAGCCTTTCCCCCCCAGTTTGGTGCCAGGGGAGGGTGAGCCCCTCTCAGCATCCTCCTGGTCCATCTCCCAGGGAGGTCTCTGGCAGATCCCAAACCTCCAGCTTCTTCCAGAGGTGTCCTGCAGCGCCTGGGAGGGATGAAGCTGGAAGGAGCAGCATCACCCTGTCTGCAGAGGAGAAAACACACAGTCTGCAGACACAGGGAAACAATCCAAAAATCAGCCAAAGGGCTCGCAGGGCCCGGCAATTAAATTAAAAAAAAGAAAAAAAAAAAAAAAAAAGGTCTTTTTTGGTGCAAGGTGCTTGGTGGGTTGAGGACATCCCAGATTCGAGGACATTCCAAGTTCATCCAGTGCTTTACTCACACCTGGTATCTGCCAAAGCCTGACCACGGTGGGGGAGGGCACCCCCTGTGCTTCCTCTTAAAACACCTGTTTCCAGGACTCACCTCAAAAACCAATTTAAAAGCGGATTCTCCAACCTAAAAACCAGCCACAGCTTCCCCCCCCCCCCTCCCCAAAGTGCTTCCAACTTTAACTGCTCGTTACAAAAATTAGACTTTTATTTGGAAATGCCTAAAAAACACCATCTCTTTTGTGCTCCCTCCCCACCCCGACAGGTTGGGGTTGTTTTTTTTTTTTTCAGTAAGAACTCCTTTCAGTGGATGAAAAGCCCATCCATCCCCTTCTGGGTGAACTCCCACCAAGGAGGGATGTCTCTCTCCTGCTGATTTCCAGTCCTGGTGGAGAACTTGCAAACTTTGGCCTCTTAGAAACGCGGGCAGAGGAGCAACCTCCACTTGTTCTTCTGCGAGTCAACTGCTTTAAAAAAAACCAAGGGGGAGAGGGGGGAAAAAAATCCCAGGGAAGGAGACGTGGCCAAGCAGGGGCTAAATGGCAAAATCCTCGTGGTCCTGGGGGCTGAAGGCGGCCGCCCTCAGCATGTCCAAGGAGTTGACGAGGATCAGGGTGCCCGTGAGGTGCTTCCAGCGCTTGGTGATGGGGTTCTTCATCTTGTCCAGCCCCGTGTGCAGCTCCTGGATGACATCCCGGTAGCTGTCCCCCATCTGGCTGCTCCAGGTGAGCAGGAAGTCGTAGGCTGGCTTCCACATGGCCTGGAATGGCGGGGGAGCAGAGCAGGGTGGGTGGTCAGCAAGCAAAGACACCCCTCATTACCATGCCCCACCATCCCCAGGACAAGCACATCCCTCCCACCACACCCAAATCCCTTGGATCTCCCAAAGGTGCTCTGGAGGCATCTCCTGAGAAACATGGAATCGTTTGGGCTGGAAAAGACTATTAGGATCAGCAAGTCTGACCGGGCACTGTGGTCTCATTCCAGATAAAAGGTCCTTCCTGCTGTATCTGCTGTGCCCTGTGGAGTATCTGCCCCTGGAGCTGGAGGCATCAGGGTGCTGAGGAGCTCGTGCTCACGCAGAACTGGGCCTAAGTGCCTTGTCCAACTGGGAATTAAGCCCCAGATTAGCTCAGTTGGTGCTACCAATGCCAAGGCTGGGGGGGTCAATCCCTGGATGGGGCACCTGCAGCTCCTTGTGGGTCCCTCTCAGCTGGGAGCGTGAACCCGGTGCACTTGGAAGCAAGGTCAGAAACTGGAGCAGATGATCTCAAAGACCTCCTCCAACAGACGTGGCTCTGAGCTCTGCCCCCACCCCGGGGGATACCACGACCCACCTCGGTGTCCACCGTGCCCGTCCTGTCCCGGTGCGGGGCCTCGTAGGCGTCCAGCTGCTGCCTGGACACCTTGGCCAGCTTCTCGGCCAGCTCCCTCCAGCGCTGGGCCACCTCCACCGCCGTGGTCAGCAGCACGAAGTCCTGCACCAGCCTCACCACCAGCCCCTGGCAGTCCATCTTCAGCAGGGCCTGCAGCACAGCACGGAAACCACACACAGGGTCAAGGCCGGGGGGGCAGCGCAGGGAAGTCCCTCCAGATCCATCCCAAAAAATCCCCCTTCCAGCGCCAGCTGGTGGAATTAGGCCACCAGGCTGGGCAGCAGAGTAATCCCATTAAGTGGACAAAGCACCCAACCCCTCTCTGACAACATCTCCAGCCTCGTTTTCCAGGCAACAACCCCCCCCCTCCTTCCCCCCCGGAGATGTTCAGGCACCAGCGTAAGCAGTTTAAAGCATCCCAGGGCCTGAGGAGAACAGATGCTTTTAATCAAGGTAATTAATCCAGCAGGGATTAATCCAGCCCCATCCTTCAGACCAGAGGGCAGCCAGAACATTTTGGGATGGGAGCTGGACATCAGCCTTGTGGGGCGAGACCCAGACACTGCGAGACCATCGCTCAGCTCAGGATGTTCTTCCTCTTCTCCCCCTTCCTCCTCCTCCTCCTCCTGCACCTTTTATTGACCTAAAAGCCAAGGGTTTCTGCAGATGGCTTTCAAGTGGGGAAGGGGAACTGCAGCAGTCCTGGCTTTCTGGGTAGGAATAACTTCACCAGGAAAAGAAAAGGATGGAGTAGGGTCAGCTCCTGTCTTAGGGCATCAAATCCCATCAAAACCCACTCAGAGTGGGACGGAGGGCTGTAGTGGGGGAAAAGCCACAGTGCAGCCCTGGAAAGGAAGGGTTTAATGGCAATTAGCAGTGCCAGAGGACGGGATCTGACTGCCAGGATCCTCATCCCACTCCCCAGGGCTCCTGGAGCAAAACAGCCCCAGTGGCAACCCCAGGCCTTGGGCAAATCCCACCTCGAACCCCGTGTGGCTACCACAGGAGGCCATGCCTGTTGACATGTATTTCCCATTATAAACCCATGGAAATGAAGCAAACAGACCCCAGACTATCCCTGGGGTGGCAGGCTGCTGGGCACCCTCATCCAAACATCCAGAGCCAGAGCTGTGGCACCACTGCACTCAGGCTGGTGGCTCCAGGACGGGGGAACACCAAGAGGTCCCTCACTCCAGTAAAGGCAAACCACCAGCTGAGGGGGGCAGGGAACAGCCCCCCAAGGGATGCTGAGCACCCAGGGAACCCAGGAACACCCTCACCTTCCCAGCAGCTCAGGGATGGCTATTCCAGAAACCATGGACGGAGTGGGGGTTCTCCCCAGGGCCAGAATCCATCCCCTCCCAAGGGTCCTGACACCCCCTCCCAACACAGGGCTCTGGCAAACCCCACCCAGTTTGGCTCTGGGGCCAGGAAGGGTTAAATCCACCCCCCCCCAGGCAGTTTCACAGGGTCAGCTGGGGGAAGGTGGGAACATCTGAAACCACTCCAGCAATTTGCAAAGCAAATGCACCCTTGATTTTCCCCTTGTCTGTCCCCAGCACAAAGCTGAGCTGGGTTCTCATCTGCAGCTGCTCCTCCAAAGTGCTGACACGGGTTTCCTGCAGGAGCAAGGGAAGCAACGAACCCCCTGGTTAAACCAGCCAGCAAGATCCTCTGAAAAGAACATCCTTTTTGCTCTTCAAAAGGCATTAGGAAGCATTTAGATGCCGCACCTGTGCCACAACCCAGCTCCTCTCCTACCTTATCACCTCTTCCCGAGGATCCCCAGCGGGAGGATCCCGATGGTCCCAAGGAAGGGGCAGATTCGGCATCCTCGAGCCTGCCTTTGGGGGTGGCTCGATGCCATGCAAGCTCCAGCAGCAGCTGGTATTTCGGGAAGCAGGTTCAAGGAGCTGCTCTCCTGCCTTGCCCAAGGCCAGGCAGGTCAGAGGCAGCAGGAGAGGCCGCCTGGAGCGGGTTAAGAAGGATAGAGCTGGAGGACATGGATTCTCCTGCTCCTTCTGCTGCTCCACGAGCAAAACCAACAAAAACACGGGCAGGGACACCTTCCACCAGCCCAGCCTGCTCCAAGCCCCATCCAGCCTGGCCTTGGACACTTCCAGGGATCCAGGGGCAGCCACAGCTTCTCTGCCCAACCTGTGCCAGGGCCTGCCCACCCACACAGGGAGGAATTCCTTCCCAATATCTAAAGCCCAAAAAGCTGCCTGTGGCTGCTCTGATGGGACCTTCTCCAAGCAAACAAAACAGCGGCAAGGCCAGCACCTAACCCTGGCCTGTGATTAATCCCTCAAAGGAACAATTGGGAAGAGATGGATCAGGACTCTGAAAGCTCCTGATGGCCACAGCCCCACTCCCTTCCCGAGCCTTGTCCTGGCAGCTCAACGCCCCCACTCCACGGGATGGGGACACCCCCACAGCCGGGTGGGAATGGCTGCAAGGTGGGCACCAAGGTGGCAGCCAGAGGGGGAATATGAGTGGGAACAGCAGCACACTGGGACGAGCTCAGCAGACTTAATCCTCCAGCAGGCGCTTTTGGGAATTACACTGCAAGCTTTTCCATCCTCCTTTTGGGGTTACACTGCAAGCTTTTCCATCCTCCTTTTGGGAATTACACTGCAAGCTTTTCCATCCTCCTTTTGGGGTTACACTGCAAGCTTTTCCATCCTCCTTTTGGGAATTACACTGCAAGCTTTTCCATCCTCCTTTTGGGAGTTACACTGCAAGCTTTTCCATCCTCCTCCCTCGCCCTGGACAAGCCTCCAGGGGTAGCTGGGCCCATCCAGCCCATGCCCAGGTGTGACCTGGGCTATTCCCCGTGGAGGATCCGGCTCTGCCAGCCCGGTGAGCACAGAGGGTGTTTGATATTCAGAGGCCGGTTCAAAGCAGCAGCACCTCAACTTCAAAGGCTGAATTCACAGCCCAGCTTTGATGTGCACAATCCCATTTCCTAACAAAGGAAAGCAGCAGCTGGAGGAAAACAGCTCCACAAACCCAGGGAAAGGCCCTGTGTCCCCAGGGAGCTCCTGAGACCCGTGGGCTGGGAGGATGCTCCTGTTTCCACTGTCTCCTCCGGGATACAGGTGAGGTTTTGACCCAAACAAGTGGGCTCTGCTCCCCGAAATAACCCTTGTTTAGGGATTAAACACCTCTTTTGCTCCCATTTTTGGCTGTCAGCACCTCCAAAATCACGTCACACACTTAAAATACCTCCCCACGCCCTCTTAGACACACCCTGATCTGCAGGACTCTGGGGACCTGTGGGGCCCGCCAGCAGCTCCGTGGGGTCTGCACGCACCAGGGGCTTTTGGCAGAAGAAAGGCAGCACGAGACACCTGCAGCCAGAGCAAACAAAACCGTGGGAGGGAAAGGAATCCCAGCCTCATCTTCTGCACGAGCTTCACAAGCAGCCTGGAGAAGAACGAGCTCCCAGTTTGCACAGCTCTGTGCTGACGTGCCTGGGAGCATTCCCAGCAGACCCCGTGTTTTTTTCCCCAACAGCCTGTGGGGAAGAAGCATCACTGAGAGTATCCATAGAAACCCTGAAGAGCTGGAGAGAGAGAAATCCTGTGTCCCAGGACCCCACTGCAGCCACAGCCAGCTACCAGTGGCGACAAAATCTTCCAGAATCCATGCCCAGGTGTTGTTTTTTAGCCAAACCATCCCTGCTCTTCCTGCAGGGAGGAGGGAGGGAGAGGTTTCCCTTTCTGCTGTGGTGATTCCCCTCTGAGCAACGTTCCCCCAAGTTACCTTCACACTCTGCTGCTACTGCTCCATTAGAAAAACAGTCATTAATAAAGGCAGATTACTTATTAACTAGTCATCCTGACCGGGTTCTTCCATGCTTGGCTGCTGGTGCAGCGGCTCTGCCACTGCAATTTTGCGTCCTGAACTCAGATAAACCTGCTTGGGACTTCTCCCCTCACAGTCCTTTTAAAGGGGAGACAACCAACTCGAAGATGACACGGCCAGCTTGGAGCTTAATGCAACCAGTCCTTGCCAGAGAGCAGGAGTCCATTGGCTGCAGATAAAATCAGATTTAAACACAATAAAATGGATTACTGCTCCATTGTCAGCCCCTGAAACATCATTACTTGCTTCTTTCAACAGGCTCAATCTAATTTCTCCCCAAGCCAAGGAGGATTTGACGGCAGCAAAGGGTTTGGAAGCAGCATCGTGTTCCATGAAGGAGGGAGCTCATCCTTTATCGACAGGCTCAGCCTCCCAGAGAACAGGATTAGCCTCAAACAAGGGGAATAAAACCTGCCCTGGGACTCTGCCCTCCAGGCATCCCTCTGGGAGCAGGATGTTTTCCTCCCCTTGAGTCAGAAGCTCCCTGAGTATCCAAAGAGCCTTATCTTTGCCCTCTGTCTCCCCACCCAGGTCTGGCACGGCTTCTCCAGGACCCACACACTGTCTGGGATCCCTGAAAAGAGTGGGAAGAGATAAAAGAAACACCTCTGGCTTTGCAGAGGGGTAAAGCAAACAGCAGAAAGCTCTTGGAGGCATCCAGCAGCCCAGGCTCCGTCCCATCATCCACTAAGGTTCAGGATCAAAGGAGCAAACCCTCCCTTGGAGGGACCAGGGACACCAAGGCTCCCACAGCGGGAGTTTTCCAACCCTGGATGGTCCCAGGAAGAGATAGAACCACTTGTGATGGCCAGAACAACCCTGCAACAGAAGCAGAGCTGGTGGCATGTCCTGAAACCTGGAGGTCAAAGCTCAAACGTCTTCCCCCCAGGCCACAGAGTGGTTCCAGGCACGGGGAACTCTCTCTGGATGGTATTTCCATAAGTAAGGACAGGGTAAAACCTTATCCCTCCTGCTCAATCCTCAAATTTCCCCCTTCTTACTAAAGGGGGTTTGGGAAGTGAACTCCTTCACTCAGCTCCTGTCCCACTCATCATTTCATTCTGGCAGGCTCCTTAATCCAAGTGACATTTTAAACCTGTGGTTCTCCATAACTCCCTTATCCCGTTTCCGTGGGAGAGCCTGGAAGAGGAGAGAGCTGCCAGAAATCTCCACCAGACATTTCTGCCTCTGTTTTCTTTGGCTCACTTCCCATGAAATGCCAGAAACGATCCTGAAGATGATATTTCCTAAGAGGCTCCCCAGTGGCATCCTGGAAATACTTGCAGGCAGCACTTTCCCAAATTCCTTTCAGGGCAAGAAGCAAGTTGTGCATTTCCAGTGCCATCCACAGCTGGGTATAAAGCATTCCAGCTCAGGGGTGCCCTTGGCTAAGCTGCCTAAAGGGAGAGACTCCATCCCTGGAAGTGTCCAAGGCCACGCTGGACAGGGCTTGGAGTGACCTGGGATAGTGGGAGGTGTCCCTGCCCACGGCAGGGGTTGGGACTGGATGAGCTTTCAGGTCCCTTTCAACCCGAACCAGCCTGGGATTCCGGAATTCCAAGTACCGATGGCATTTCCGTGATCCCACCGAAGCAAGAGCCCACCGAGGGGCTGAGCTTCCTCCTGGCTGTCTGCAGGAGACCTCAGAGACTGGTCTATCAAGGTCCCTGCAGGAGGTTGGTCTCCATCTTTAACTCGGCCCGAATCAGGACTCTCCCTTCTCCCCCTCCCCCGAATCCCTCCGCACGGCGGGGAACGAGCACGCCCTCACCACGCCTCGGACTCACCGTCATCAGCTCCTTCTGGAAGGACTTCCTCTCCTTGCTCTCCGTGCTGTTGCAGTCCTCCTTCAGCTTCTCCAGGACGGAGGCCACCCTCTCGGGCTCGCTGTCCAGCTCCGCCCGGCAGAAGAACGACAGCGGCAGGTTGGAGTAGCCCAGGGCGTCGGCGAAGGACCTCCAGCTGCTGAGGTTCTCCATCAGCAGAGTCCTCACCGAGGCGTAGATGTAGGTCAGGAACTTGCAGGGCCTCAGGATCTGCTCCAGCAACAGGCTGGTGGTGAGATCCGGCCCGGAGAAGTAGCTGGGCTTGACCTTCCCGACCACCAGCACGTTTTTGGTGTGCACGAGGCCGATTTTGCCCTGGTAGTAGCCAATGTACCACTCCTTGGTCCACAGCTGGCCTTTCAGCCTGATCTTCTCCTCACTGAGGAGGGCTATGACGTCTCCTTTCTTGTACTCCAGCAAATAGTGGTTCTTGCTCTGCCTCACCACCGTCTTCAGCAGCTTGCCGTACTTGAGGCTCAGCACCGGCCGGTCCTGAAAGACCGGGTACCTGGCGGTGGCGGCCAGAGGTGACAGGATGATCTTCCCGACCTCATTCTTCTTGAGGAAGCGCCTCTGCCCCGTCGGCTTGATGGCGCTTTTGGGAGGCGGCTGCGGCGTCTGGACGCAGAACTGGGTCAGGAGGGCGTCCCGGTCGTCCTTGACCTGTATCCTCAGCGTGAAGTCCGAGAGCTCGTTGGGGTCGTGGGAGGCGATGGGGAAGATGAGGCGGCTCACCTTGCCCAGCTTCATCTGGAAGCCCCGCACGATCTTGGCCTGCTCGCTGGCCTTCACCTCGTAGTTGGTCATGTTGGAGAACATGCAGAGCTTGAGGTCCTGAGGCCGGGACAGGGTGAACTGGTGCTTCCCCCAGAGCTGCAGGGCGACGGGGGCCGGGCCGTGGGACTGCCTGGTGACCTCGTTCACCAGCAGGGTCTTGGGGGCACACTCGTGCCCGAACATGGCCACCACGGTTTTGAAGGAAGGGTGGATGTGCTTGGGGCCGTAGACACCCACCGTGATCTTCTTGCTGATGTAATCCCAGACGGTGGCGGGGTAGAGGATGTTCTGCCCCTGGGCCACGGCCGCGATGTACATGCACGGCTCCAGGTTCTCCAGCTGCACCTGGATGGTGTCCCCGTAGGAGTAGCTCAGCTGCATGGGCGTGTACGGCCCCTCCTTCATGTCGCTCCGCAGGCACTGCAGGCCCACCAAGCTCCTGCTCGTGACGTCGTTCTTGACCTCGGCCGACACCTTCATCTCCAGGATGATGAAGGTTTTCACCTCCATGTTGCTGAGCTTGATCTGCAGGACGGGGCTGACGGTGCTGCACTTGTCGCTGTTGAGCTCCAGCGGCGGGTCCAGCATGGCCTTCATGGAGATCTGCTGCGTCTCCCCGGGGCACACGTGGCCCTCGGGCACGTGGATGCTGATGTTGGTGTCGGGCAGCTGAACGGCCCCCCCGGAGCTGTCCAGCTTGCACACGATGTTGGTCTCCACCGGCTGCGTCTGACCCCAGCCGGGACTCTGACCGAGCAAATCCAAGTCGTGGCAAGACCGAGCCAGCTTCCTGTGGTTCAGCCACGCTGTCCTAAAATCCTCCCGGCTCTGGAACTGCTCAGGGGTGGGGGACTTCAAACCGCTGAAGAAACCCGACGAGGCCGGAGCGTCCGACTTGGCCTGGAGAACAGACAGCTCGGACAAGCTGTAGGAGCGCTTACTCCTGAAGAAGGGGTTGTCTCTTCTCACAGGCTGGTCCAGATCCAGCCCGTTGGAGGAGGGGAACTCATCGAAGATGTTGCCCAGGCTGCTGTTGGCGGCAGAACTGCAGACGGTGGATGCGGGAGCCCCCGTGTCGAAGAGCAGCAAGTCAACGGCGACGCTGGAGTGGGACCCTCTGTCCGAGCCGGGCACCGCCTGCGCGTTCCCGTTCAGGAACGGGTTTGTCTGCGCCCCGTTCAGGAAGGGGTTGTTATGGTAGGTTTTCACAGAGTTTCTCTTGGCCTCGGCCCACTCCCCGAGCAGGTCCAGCTCCCTGACCCCCTCGTCGGGGCTCTCCAGCAGGTTGTCGATCACGCCGCTGTCCGTCAGGGAGGAGTTGCGGTAGTTCACGGGCTGCACGTAGGAGGAGGGGATGTAGCCCATCTCCGTGGTGTTGTGGGCGTACCACCACTCGCCCCCCGACGTGTCCAGGACATACAGGTGGTCCCCCTTGGAGAACTTCAGGGTGGTGAAATTGGTCGGACAGTAATCCTTGATTGCTACGACCTCCTTCGCGTTCCCGAAGGACGTGGGATTGTCGACCAGCAAGGCACTGGGGGAAGGCACTGCCAAGGCAAGGAGAGAACAGCACTGTGAGAAACCCCTTTGCCACCTTTTCTCTCAGGTCGCCGACCCGGCCCTCTTTAAGTGGTTATGGTGGTTGTGGACTCACAGAATCACTCAGGCTGGAACAGCTCCAAGACTGAGTCCAACCCTGAACCCAGCCCTGCCCGTTCCAACCCTAAACCCACGTGCCCAAGTGCCACATCTGTGTGGGTTTTGAACACACTTCCAGGTCCACTAATTCCCTGGGCAGTCTCCCAAGCCTGAAGGTATTTTTTCCCCTGTAAACTTTGTCCAGAAAACTCTGCTCTTTCTGGTACACTCACATCTCTCTTCCCCAAAGGGTTCATGTGAACCCACGAGAACTTTCAGGGCAGCCTAAAAGCCCTCTTGCTTTGCTGTAACCCCTCTCCTGCACACGTGGAACATGTTTCAGTGTAAAAACCAACGAAGGGCACATCATATTCCTGGCTTTTCACGCCACACCGGTCAAAAACCCCAGCACCTCACTCCTTTTGAACAGCACCTGTACTTCAGAGCTCCTCAACAAAAAATAACTCTATTGCTAGTTTTAGATTAGGTACCAGGAATTCTTCACCACGAGGGTGGGGAAGGGCTGGGATGGGATTCCCAGAGAAGTTGTGGCTGCCCCTGGATCCCTGGAAGTGTCCAAGGTCAGTTTGGACAGGGCTTGGAGCAACCTGGGGTAGTGGAAGGTGTCCCTGCCCACGGCAGGGGGTGAGATGGGATGGTCTTTCATGTCCCTTCCATCCCAAACCATTCCATGACTCCAAAGAAGGTCACACAGTTTGAACCCTCCCACGGTGATGTTTGTGGTCCTGGCAGCAGCTCCAACCTCCCAGCAGGAAGTTGTTTTCCCAGGGGGATCCCAGTTCCACCCAGGCTGGGTCGAGCCTACAGATGCTCACAGTGTCACCCTATTTCTTGGCTTTGCTCTCACTTTTAGGATCTGTTTCTGTACGAAGCACTCAAACCAACTGCAGATGGTGTTACCTCAGTGTTAAATGTGTGTTAGACAGAAAACAAGGAGAGCTGGACTTTCCCCAACACAGAGCTGCAAGAGAGCTGGGACAGCACCTTTAACTCCTCGGGAACTCTCTGGGGGGAAAAGGGGATTTAGAGAGCACAGGAAGCCCCTAAAAGCATCCTGGAGATGAAGGGATGGGAGCTCAGGCTGCACTTCCCTGCATCCTGCCCCTGGCTGGCAGCGCTTGTGGGACACGGAAGTAACAAGGCAAGGGAAGACACAGCTGAGCAAAGAATGGTCTTCAAATACAGGCTAGAGATGAAAAATTAAGAGGAGCAGAGCGTGGACACACCCTGACCAATTCCTCAGTCCCTCCCCCAGCAGGTAGGCGAAGTCATGAGGGCATTTATCCGGTGTAACACCAGATATAAAGCCCACATTGGAATTATTTTGCCAGCCTGGAAGCCGCCGTTAACTCAGTCCCCTGCAGGACAGGGGCGTTTTTGGTGCCCCCATCCCTTCGGATCAGCCCCGGGGGCTGAGTTCCCACAGCCCTGCAGCTGGGGAGGGGGGTTAACAGGGATGTGCTGAAAGCAGCTCGGAGAACATGAGTAATTCCTATTTTTGCCCTGCAAACAATCCAATCCGCAGCCGAGCGTTTGACGTGGGGGCCCCTCCGCGCGCGTGTTTGTTTTTAAAGGCCCTGGGCGCCCGAGAACTTCCACCTGGAGCTCTTCCCCGGGCTGGGGCCGTGCCAGGGGAACAGCAGTGAGGCAAATACAGCAGGAGAAAACGCAGTCAAAGGGTGGTGGGGGGGAGCAGAGCATTCAAGCAACCAGCTCTGGGGAACGGGAACAAGCAGGGAACAAGGGAACAACAACAACAACAACCCCGGTGGTGTCACCAACCCTCCGAGCTCCCGGGAAAGGGAACACCAAGGCCTTGCCGGCGTCACCAACCCCCCCCTGGACACCGGGGCGAGGGGAAACGAGGACGGGATCCCCTCCCCACCCACCTTTGACGTCGCCCAGGCTGGTCTCGGTGAAGGCCTCGCCGAGGTCAATGAGGGTCCCCTCGGACTTGCACCGCGGGAGACCCCCCGAGTTGGCCGCCCGGATCCTCTGCGCCGCCATCTCCGGCCCCGCCAGGCTCTAGGTGGCCATGGCCTCTCCAGGGACCCCCCTGTCACCTCGGGGAACCAGCCTGGGGGAGAGAGAGACAAACCCCGGCACGTTAGAAAGGCTCTGGGTGGTTGTTGGGAACACATCCCTGTGTTCCCCGTAAAACATCCCGGAATACAGCCTGGATGCTCCACAGCACAGCCTAAAAACCACAAAGGGTTTTGTGTAGCAAGGACAGCCTGGGCTTGCAGGATGCTGCTGCTGCTGCTGCTGGACACAACCCCGCAGGAAGAGGTTTTTTAGGGATACGTTGCTCCCGGGATGGTAAATTGGTCCTTCTCCCTGTTTCCCAAGACCTACCAGGGCACTTGCACCTCGCTGCAATGCATAATTATAAAGCCACCAAGCACCGGGTGCTGTGGGAGCCCAGGGCAGTGGAGGACCCACGGGGCTGGGATTTTTAAATGGGTCACCGCTCTCTCCCACTGCAGCACTGGGATTTCCTGGGATGGGGATTGGCTCTTCCCGCTTGCTCCCTGCATCCCTCCTTCCCTCCCCAGCCAGCGACCAGGCAGAGAAACACCCCTTCTGCAGGGCACTGACTGCCCTGCTCCACCTGATGAAAAAATGAGAATAAAAGAGCTTTTTCCTCCTTTTTTCCTTCCCCGTGGAAGAGCAGAGAGGAAAAATCCCCCCGTTTCCCACAGGACACGCCGACATTCCGGCCACCAACGTCGCGGCTGATGCAAGCGCGGGTAAGACCTTCCCTGACATCATCCCTGTCCTCTGGAGCTTGGAGAGGGGCCAGGTGGATCAGGACAATCAGGGAATGCTGGAGCCTCTCTGCCAGCTGAAGGCAGGGCTGGAGCACAGCCTGAGCGGTGTGTTGCTACTCCGGGATCCGGCATCATCCCGGGAATTCTGGCATCCAACGCCCCTCCATCCCGCTCCCTCAAACTCCAGCCTGGCTGCAAAGCACCAACAGCTCTTAAAAGCAGAGTCAGAATTAAAGTTAGCTCCAAATCCCTGCTTTATGAAGGGATTGTCACCCTCTCCTAACGCTGGGTTTTTTCCCTCCTCCCCTTCCCGTGCAATTTTTGCCTTTCCTGCCTTGAAAACCAGACCAAGCAGAAAACAACCCCCAAGCCCGAATTCTTGAGGTGGGAATAGGGAACCCTGGAGGGATTCAGTGCCCTTTTCTGGAATGCAGCAAGAGGAAATCTGCAGGGGAGAGCCTGAGCAGGAGATACTTTCTGGTTTGAAATGCTTCCCGAGCCAGTCCCCAGGGCTGGTATGCTGGGAATGTGGGAGCTGGAAGGGATGCACCAGGCTCCAGCCAGAAAAGGGAAGGCAGAACTCGTGTGCCAACGTTTTCCCTTTGAGGAGAGCCTCGTTTGGGGGGCCTGCTGGGAGCGAGGCAAGGGGAGAGGCTTTGGCAGGCAATAAATCCCCAGAAACCAGGCTTTGAGACAAGGCTGAGCTTATCAGAGCTGGGCCAGGTAGGACAAAGGAATAACCAGTGGGAAGCTTCAGTGGGAAGCAAAGGAAGGGAGGAAAGATGCTCCCCTTGGCTGGCACAGTTCACCATCCACCCAGGATATGTTTCTGTGCTGTCCGGCGTCAAATGAATGCCATCCTGATTATTTTATATTAATTTCGTATTTACATTAATCTCTACTTATGCTAAATTTATATTAGACAATAAATAAAATTTTATATTGAATTTTATATTAATCACTGCCGCCACAGTACTGACAACTCTCACCAATATATCCCCAAGTCTGGCATTTTCAGGGATGCTCCCCCTCCCTCTGTTTATAAAACTTCATGCTGAAGGTCTCTGACAGATGTGGAGGAACAGCTGGAAACCCTTCCCTCACTCTGCATCCAACCCTGAAGCCTCAAAAGGCAACAGGAACCTCCATAAAAATGAGGGATGATGGGCTGGCATTTCCTCTCCCACGAGCAGCATCCTGGATGGGTCTGTCTGTCTGTCCTGATGAAGTGATGCTCACACATAAAGGGATGGGGGCCCCTAAAGGGATGGGATGGGATGGGATGGGATGGGAGCCCTGTTTGGGAGCTGGGGATGGCCCCAAAATGCTTCTGAGTGCAGAGGCAGGGCAGAAATCCAGGAGACCTTCAAACCCAGGGAATAAAAGGGGACAGCTGGGAGCTGGGGTGGGGGGAAACGAGGCGGGAGGAGGCAAGATTTGTTTAGAAATCCCTGAGACAATGGGCTGCAAACTCCCCTGCAAAAGCCCTTTAAATTTAGCCTGGGATTAAACACAGCCTAGGAAAAACCCAGCCCCACGTGTTTACCCAAAGCCATAAACAGCATCCCAAAGGAACGGTGGGGGAAGGAAACCAGGGAGCGACCAGAGCGAGTCTCCTCAAGCAGCCACCAAAAAACCTGCCTTGCACACCCCTTTTTCCCTCCCACAGGGGGAGAGGGGGGATGCTCCAGGGTAAAATCCAACCCTGTGAGCTGGGGGGCCCTGCTGGGTTCTCCCCACACCCCAACAAACCCACCAGGCAGCAGCTGCCCGGGTCAGGGCTCCACCGTGGGGACATTACTCGTTCCAAAATCCCAACCAGGCTTTGCTGAGGGTTGGGAAAAGCTTTACAGGGAAGCCCCGAGGGGCACATTCCCATGGGGGCTGGCTGGCACCCCGGGAATCCTCATCAGCTCCCTGGGATGGACGGTGCTGCTCTGGGATGTAACTTCGGGATTTAACTTTGTGTGAGCTGCAGCCACGAGTGAGGATTTTTGGGATGGGACAGATCTGGCTGTGCTCCTCTGGGAGAGGCTTCACCCAGCCCAGCCCCTGACCCCACACGGGACCATCTCCAACAATCCCACCCTGCCCCTGAGGGCGTTTTCCAAACATTCCTTGAGCTCTGGCACCACTGCCCTGGGGAGCCTGTTCAGTGCCAACCACCCTCTGGGGGAAGAACCTTTCCCTGAGATCCAACCTGACCCTGCCCTGGCACAGCTCCAGCCATTCCCTGGGATTCCAGCAGGCACGGAGCCCCAGCAGGTTTGGGGAGGTGTGGGGCTGGTGATGGTGGAGCATCTACTGAAAGAAAACTCACTAAAACCTCTTAAAAAACGAATCCAAAAGGTGCTTTTTCCTGCAGCACTCGAACCCACGGAATTCAGCCTCCCAGCAGCAGCATTTCCCGGTGTGAACTGGCACAAAAAAGGTTAAAAATCGCTCCTGCAAACTGCCTGGTACAACTTATCCCAGAAAAACAACCCCAGCCTCTCCCTTCCTGGCCCCACAGACCCCGGGGAGACCCCCTGGCACAGGGAGAGCCCTGGGCAACGTAACAAAACAACGGGAACATCCCAAAAGTGCAAACCCCGGATCTGCTGCCGGCCAAGGGAAGGTCCTTTCCAAGCAGCACTGGCTGAAGGTGGGAGAGGATCCCTCTGGAAGTGATGGAAAACTCCTGACTGCCAAGAATTTGGGCTGATAAGCCCGGGGAGGGCTGACAGGGCTGGGTGGTACCAACTGGTACTGACTGATGCACATCCCTGCCCAGCCATCCCACGCTTCCCAGCCCTCCCTGGAGCTGCAGGGCCCATCCCACCCCGGCACACACGAATCCAGGGGAGGCAGCAGGGACAGGAGACACAGTGACACAGGACTGGTGAGCCCTGCCATGAGCACCGTCCTGCACCCCTGCTCTCCCTGGGAAATGCAGCCAAAAGCCCCTCAAAGCCCTAAGCCTGTGAGACCAGCTCAGGAGAAACGTCCCACCCCAGCCCTGGCCGCAAACTGAAAGGTGGGAAGCGAAGAAAGAGCTTCCAATCAGTCACTCCTTATCCTCTTGCCACTCCAGGGCCAAGACCAACCCCAAAGCTTTTAATTTGCTTTTTCTCTCTCTAGAGGCAAGCTCCTGTGGCCCTCCCACAAACACAGAAGTGTTTTTGGAGGTTTCTTTTCAAAACCAGGCTGTTCCACTTGGATAGGAACAAATTTAAATTTCTTGGGAAGCTAAAAATCCACCTCACAGAGCCACAGCACGACCCTCGGAGCACGTTCATCCCACACAAGGAATTCACTGAAAACGTTGCTTTCATCTCGCCCAAAACCTCCAGTAACTCTTTTTATCTCTCCCAAAACCTCTGCATCGTGGAAACAGATGCAGACAAGACTCCTCCCAGCCCAGGGGACACCCCAGCCCTGAAGGAGCTGCTCAGGGGAGTTGTGCTCGGGAGCACCAACACGCAAAGGCTTTCAACAGAACCTCAAGAAAAGGGCCAAAAGCGGCCAAAATTTCTGCATTTTAGCCAACAGTCTAATTCGGGAAGTTGGTTTTGCCCTGCAGATTCTTTGCCCCGAGGAGCTTCCTCCTGACTGTGACACAGCACAGCCCGGGCGGGCATTGCCCAACACGCAGGAAATGATCCCCCCAGCTCGGGGCTGCCTCCTTTTCCCACACTGACACCCACAGATCTTCCAGCACACGTGACACACACAAAACCCCCTCCCTGGAGGAGCTTCTGATGGCTGGGGATAGCTTCTGATGGCTGGGGAAGGGCTGGCTGCTGTTGGTTTTTCCCCCCACCCCGCTATAAGCCTGTCCCAAGCAGCAGCGCCTCACATCCCGGTGATTCCTGACCTCCTCGCCTTTCCCTGCTCTCCTCCTCCTCCTGCTCCAGGGCTTGTGTTTGCAAAGCCAAGGCTTTCATCTTTGAGGAAAAGAAAAAAAAATACCCACCCAAGCCATGTGAAGATAAACCTCCCCTTGAGACAACACCCAGCAGGAGCTCTTTGCTCCAGAGGGAACACTCTGGCGTGAACTCACGCACGGCCAACGCGCCACAACATGAGACACGCCTTTTTAGTCCCTTCTCCAGCAAACAAGAAGGGATCTGTGGGAACACCAGGGCCTCCCAGCCCTCCTGCAGCGCTCTCAGGGGTTTGCTTTGGACCCCGTTCCCACCACTGGACCTCACTGCCACCGTCCCCGCTCGGGTGTCGTGGTGGTGGCAGCGGAGCCCAGCCACGCTCCAGGCTGTCCCCTCCGCTCCCTGCCAAGCCCTGGGGAAAAATCCTGCCCTCCAGCTTA